CTAGAGGAGAACACAGGCAACACCCTTTTTGAACTCGGCCACAGTAACTTCTTGCAAGATACATCCACGAAGGCAAAAGAAACAAAAGCAAAAATGAACTATTGGGACTTCATCAAGATAAGAAGCTTTTGCACAGCAAAGGATACAGTCAACAAAACTAAAAGACAACCTACAGAATGGGAGAAGATATTTGCAAATGACATATCAGATAAAGGGCTAGTTTCTAAGATCTATAAAGAACTTATTAAACTCAACACCAAAGAAACAAACAATCCAATCATGAAATGGGCAAAAGACATGAACAGAAATTTCACAGAGGAAGACATAGACATGGCCAACATGCACATGAGAAAATGCTCTGCATCACTTGCCATCAGGGAAATACAAATTAAAACCACAATGAGATACCACCTCACACCAGTGAGAATGGGGAAAATTAACAAGGCAGGCAACCACAAATGTTGGAGAGGATGCAGAGAAAAGGGAACCCTTTTGCACTGTTGGCGGGAATGTGAACTGGTGCAGCCACTCTGGAAAACTGTGTGGAGGTTCCTCAAAGAGTTAAAAATAGACCTGCCCTACGACCCAGCAATTGCACTGCTGGGGATTTACCCCAAAGATTCAGATGCAATGAAACTCCGGGACACCTGCACCCCGATGTTTCTAGCAGCAATGTCCACAGTAGCCACACTGTGGAAGGAGCCTCGGTGTCCATCAAAAGATGAATGGATAAAGAAGCTGTGGTCTATGTGTACAATGGAATATTACTGACCCATTAGAAATGACGAATACCCACCATTTGCTTCAACGTGGATGGAACTGGAGGGTATTATGCTGAGTGAAGTAAGTCAATCGGAGAAGGACAAACAGTGTATGTTCTCATTCATTTGGGGAATATGAATAATAGTGAAAGGGAATATAAGGGAAGGGAGAAGAAATGTGTGGGAAATAGCAGAAAGGGAGACAGAACATAAAGACTCCTAACTCTGGGAAACAAACTAGGGGTGGTGGAAGGGGAGGAGGGCACTGAGGGGAGCACTTGACAGGATGAGCACTAGGTGTTATTCTGTATGTTGGTAAATTGAACACCAATACAAAATAAATTTATTATAAAAAACAATTTGCATATAGAAATAAAGTCTGCTAAAAATTTTTTTTAAAAAGTGATAGAGAAACCTCCAGATAAGAAAATCCAAAAGAGGAGAGTGTATTTAAAGTTTACTCCAGCTATAATTCAGGGAGCATCACATGGCATACATCTGAGTCTATTCCCAAGATACTCTGTTGTACTTATCTCTATTTTATAGATCTGTGGGATCTCAGGCACTAGGAAGTCATCTGGGTTTGGATCAATCACATAGAAGTGAACAAATGAATAGAAGTAAGAATATTGATCTTAGAGTATCAAGACTGATGCTACCATTACTATCTTTATTCAGATGATAAATTCTTGTGAATGCAATGTTAGGTGACTTGAAGAGGTAGTACATAGGAAAATGAATTGTCAAAAGAACATACCACCTTGGGGTGCCTGAGTGGCTCAGTCAGTTAAGCATCTGCCTTCAGCTCAAGTTCTGATCCCAGGGTTCTGGGATCAAGCCTGAGTATGGCTCTCTGTTCAGTGGAAAGCCTGCTTCTCCCTCTCCTTCTGCCCCTCTCCAGCCCACCCCGCTCGTTCTCTCTCTCTCTCTCTCTCTCAAATGAATCAATAATTAAAAAAAAAAGAACATACTGACTGCCAGGACGCCTGGGCACCTCAAGAGTTGATCGTCTGCCTTCGTCTCAAGACATGATCCCAGGATACCAGGATCAAGTTCTGCATCTGGCTCCCTGTGGGGAGTCTACTTCTCCCTCTGCCTATGTCTCTGCCTCTCTCTCTGTCTCTCATAAATAAATAAATAAATAAATAAATAAATAAATAAATAAATAAATAAATAAATAAATAAAATTTTAAAGAAGAACATACTGCCTTGATATAGGTTTTTTTTTTATAAATTAATTTTTATTGGTGTTCAATTTACCAACATACAGAATAACACCCAGTGCTCATCCCGTCAGGTGTCCCCCTCCGTGCCCGTCACCCATTCACCCCCACCCCCCGCCCTCCTCCCCTTCCACCACCCCTAGTTCATTTCCCAGAGTTAGAAGTCTTTATGTTCTGTCTCCCTTTCTGATATCTCCCACACATTTCTTCTCCCTTCCCTTATATTCCCCTTCACTATTATTCATATTCCCCAAATGAATGAGAACATACACTGTTTGTCCTTCTCCGATTGACTTACTTCACTCAGCATAATACCCTCCAGTTCCATCCATGTTGAAGCAAATGGTGGGTATTTGTCGTTTCTAATGGCTGAGTAATATTCCATTGTATACATAAACCACATCTTCTTTATCCATTCATCTTTCGATGGGCACCGAGGCTCCTTCCACAGTTTGGCTATTGTGGACATGGCTGCTAGAAACATCAGGGTGCAGGTGTCCCGGCGTTTCATTGCATCTGAATCTTTGGGGTAAATCCCTAACAGTGCAATTGCTGGGTCGTAGGGCAGGTCTATTTTTAATTCTTTGAGGAACCTCCACACAGTTTTCCAGAGTGGCTGCACCAGTTCACATTCCCTCCAACAGTGTAAGAGGGTTCCCTTTTCTCCGCATCCTCTCCAACATTTGTTGTTTCCTGCCTTGTTAATTTTTCCCATTCTCACTGGTGTGAAGTGGTATCTCATTGTGGTTTTGATTTGTATTTCCCTGATGGCAAGTGATGCGGAGCATTTTCTCATGTGCATGTTGGCCATGTCTATGTCTTCCTCTGTGAGGTTTCTCTTCATGTCTTTTGCCCATTTCATGATTGGATTGTTTGTTTCTTTGCTGTTGAGTTTAATAAGTTCTTTATAGATTTTGGAAACTAGCCCTTTATCTGATATGTTATTTGCAAATATCTTCTCCCATTCTGTAGGTTGTCTTTTAGTTTTGTTGACTGTATCCTTTGCTGTGCAAAAGCTTCTTATCTTGATGAAGTCCCAATAGTTCATTTTTGCTTTTGTTTCTTTTGCTTTCGTGGATGTATCTTGCAAGAAGTTACTGTGGCCAAGTTCAAAAAGGGTGTTGCCTGTGTTCTCTTCTAGGATTTTGATGGAGTCTTGTCTCACATTTAAATCTTTCATCCATTTTGAGTTTATCTTTGTGTATGGTGCAAGAGAGTGCTCTAGAAAAGCTTGTGTAAGATTGAAATTATGTCAGTCAAATGTTTTGCCGATATTGTCTGTGAAATCGTCCAGATCTAAAGTTTTCATTATAGGGAGAATTTTTTAAATTACTAATTCATTATCTTTAATGATTTGGGGACTCTTCATGTCCTATTCTCATTCAGTTTTTTTTTTTTAAGATTTTGTTTACTAGAGAGAGAGTGCACAAGCTGGGAGAAGGGCAGAGGGAGAGGGAAAGAGAGAATCCTCAAGTCAACTTCCCACTGATCATGAAACCCAAAGCAGGGCTTGATCCCAGGACCTAAGATTATGACCTGAGCCAAAATCAAGAGTCAGACTCGACTGACAAGCAATCTAGCACCTTTTATTCAATTTTGATAAGTTACATTTTCTAGGTAGTTTCCATTTCTAAATTTTACATCTAATATTGGCAAAGCTGTTCATGATATTCTCTTTTTATCATTTTAATATCTGCATGATCTATAGGAATGCCCCCTTTACACTCCTGGTATTGACTGCATTCCACACTCTCCCTTTTTCTCTTCCTTCCTCTCTCTCCATTACCTCATCTTTCTCTCTCCCTTTCTTATCCTCACCAGAAGATTGTAACTTTCAGAGAAATAACTTTTGATTTTGTCAAATATCTTTCTTTCATGCTTGTTTTCTGTTACATTAACTTCTTACATTTGTTTTTTTTCCCTCTTTCTTGTTTATTGCTTGCCTTTAAATTTTGTTTATGGTGTTTCTTATCATATATAATTTTTATCATTGTTACACTTACCTTTATAAACCTTTAAAGTTGGGGCACCTGGGTGGTTCAGTGGTTAAGCATCTGCCTTTGGCTCAGGTCATGATACCGGGGTCCTGGAATTGAGTTCTGCATCAGGCTCCCTGTGGGAGGCCTCCTTTCCCCTTTGGCTGTATTTCTGTCTCTGTGTGTGTGTGTGTCTCTCATGAATAAGTAAATACAATAGTTTTAAAAAATAAATAAAAACAAAAATAAACCTTTAACGTTGACTTTACAAATCTGTGGGGCTTTTTAAGGATCTTATCTTAAAGCTTTTTCTCATCCCAAAGACATCAAGTTTCAGATGTAAGAATTTAATCTGTTGGGATCTCTGTGTTCAACAAGAACTATAAAAAGATAACTTCCCCCAACATCACATGTTGCCTGGCTCACTTTTGTCACTGATCCCCAAACTCCCATGTATATGTGGGTTTTCCAATCCATTAGTCTTTTAGTCAACAGATTGACTTGTATTTTCTGTTTACATTACATTTTTTTCTTCCTTCCCAATTATTACATATTCAATTACTTCTTCTTGTCTCACTGCATTGGCCAGAATCACCGGTACATTGTTGAACAGATACAGTGAAAGTAAGTGTCCTGTCGCTCAATCTAAAGGACATTTTTGTAAAGTTCCACATTAGAGATTATATTCTGTTCTAGGATTTTGCTAGTTACATATCGTTAAAAAACTTTATTAAATGAGAATGAGTAACAGGACTGATGAATACCAAAAGTAAGAAAGATATAGCAACATGGCTCTGAACAGAGAAATAATGTGGCCTGAGAAAAGCGTACAAGCTATGTGATCAGAGAACCCTGCATCCTAGTCATGGTTCTGCCAATTTTTAGGATGTTCCTTGCTTCTATTAGCCTCCATTTCCTTGTTTATAGAATGTACATTATCATACCTAATCACAGAGTTGTCAGAATTTAAAGTATATAAAGCACATATAATATTGCCTGGCTTACCAACATTAACTGTGTATTATTCTTTCTTCTTGTAGTCCTGCCCTCTCTGCCTGTGGTAATAGGCCCCTTGGAGAGGGCTCTAATTGGGCAAACTGAATTTCAGCTGCATGTCCTATGGCTTCTTTCCCAAAGATATCACCCTGAAGTGGTTCAAAAATGGGAAGGAAATCTCATCCCTCCAGACCCACATTGTCCAGGTGAAGAACAGCAATACCTACAAAATCTCCAGTACTACTGAGGTGGTCCTCACTCTACAGGACTTCTACTCTTATGTCACCTGCGATGTGAATCATCTAAGCCTACATTATCCTCTTCAAAAGAATGCTGATTTGTCTGAGACTATACTAGATAGATGACATCACAGGTGACCAGGCTTTGACCTAGCTTTGGAGAACAGTTCTCCCAAGATTTACTTTGGTAAACAGGTCTAAATAATAATAATATCTTTTTAGCTATTAAGCACCTACTATGTGTAAGGGATTGCCACATGCTAGGTAGGTGCTAAGTAAATGGCCACCGAGTAATAAGCAAGGTGCATATGATTGTTTCACAGAGTCTGAGCCTTTGTCCTATACTATTTCAGTTCTATCCAACATGTCTATTTTTGAACATCTCATCCCAAAGAACAAGATAAATGTCATCTGCAAGGCAAAGAAGTTCTACCCCGAGGGCATACAGCTGATCTGGCTGAAGAATGGAAATATCTCCCAGATAGATAAGACCCTGACCCCCAGCATGAGTAGTGATGGACTATATACTGTGTAGAGCTGGATCTTGGTGGATGGAACTAACCACCAAGAGGACACAGTGCTCACTTGCCAGGTAGAACAAGATGGGCTACAGGAGGCCACTGCAAAAATGACATTTTTGGTTTCTACTCATCTGGGTAAGTCTGAGAAATAGCCAATGGCAAGACCTACATGACTTACTGAAGAAGGCACCATGACCTTTACTTAAAATTTTCTTTTCTAAATCTTGAAATTTTAAATTATAAAAGTAAAACATGCTCCTTCTCTCCCTCTCTCTCTCTCTCTCACACACACACACACCCAAACAATCCAAAAATTATATAAATAAATAAATATATAAACAATATCTAAATATCTGTTAGAAATGAAGTGCACCCAATCCAACTCCCCAGGGAGGTCTCCTATTTATGATGTGCTAACCTCCTTTTAGGTCTCATTTATCCACAAAGTGGATTTCAGGAGCTCGGTGGTGGGAGGCCTGGTAATAGCTGAGATCCCTAAGCCAGGGAGTCTATGTTCCCTTGAATGACCTCTTCATTTTTTTTCAAGAATGGCTTCTTGCCAGGGGGCGTTTTAGTATTTCCTCATATTCTGTTGAGCCCAAATCCCAAGCTGAGCACTGGAGCCTTGAAACTCTCTCAACAGAAACACATCTATACTCCATTCACTACCAGTGTAGATAAACACTGCTGTGCCTAGTATGTTCTTATGCTCCTAGTTCCTCCCTGGAAGTCTGGGTATCCTGTCCTTTCTTGATCTACAGAGGCAACAATGATCAGCATAGTATTTTACAGACATGATTTGGACTTCTCACTGCTTTGTGAGCCTGAAAAGATATCTAAAATTTCTGAGCCTGAGTTTTCTCACCGACCCAGAGAGAATAATACCCATGCCATAAGACTAGGCTGAGGAGCAAATAAGGTCGTGCAAGATAGTTAAATGACTAAGGCTGCCCCTGCTTTCTTCTAGATAAGGCCCATCCCAGCCATGTGAGATGTATGTGTGTTTGCCTGGCTGAGCTGCTGTTTTGGGCTTCTGTGCCAGCCAGAGCACAGTGCAGGACAAAGGGTTGTCATCAATTATGGGAAAGTGAAGACCCAGGAGCATGGACTCCCATGATGACTTTTGCTGCCCACCCTTCCTTTTGTGGCCTGCCTCCTATGTCACAAGGTGCTGCTGGTGATGGAGGTCTCAACCTCCATTCTGCAGGAAGCAGAGGGCTTGATTGAAAGTTGAGAGGAGGCTCGAGGAAAGAAGACAAAGTGGTGAGAGGAGGCTCAGGGAGAGAAGACAAGATAGTGGCCATAGCCTGGCCTAAGTGCAGGCGGAGGTCAGGAGTCGTCAGTCTAAGAAGGGCCCTCTAGGTCACATGGGGCCAAGGTGTATCTGGAGGTAAGAGAGGGACACAGAACTCTCACCTCCCCAGGAATTTCCTGGAACCCCCTTAGGATTTCCATCTCAGCTGTGATGATGGGAGAAACAAGGCTGGATCGATGGTTTGCAAAAGATGTCTGAGGAACAGTACAGGGTACTAGGACCCAGGGAGAGGGCAGTGTCTGATTTCACAGGACTGAATATCAATGCCCCCCACCAATTCCTCTCTGGGCAGGGCATAGATGCTGGCACAAGTAGACACTTGGAAAACCTGCACTCCCTGACCAAACAGACACATGGATGTGCTTTCCACAGCTGTTCCCTTTCTGGCACTGTGGGAACTTCAGTCTCTGTTGCCCCTCTCCCCTCCAGAGGAACTCAGCCTGAGAGGAGTCTGAGAGGTCTGAGGAGCTCCACACGCCTCCACTCATTGGGCCACCTGCCCTCCCTATGCCTGTCCAGACCACAGCCCCCAGGGAGGGGTCTCAGGACAAGACCTGGGGCAGCTGAACAGGAGACCTTTGGTGAGGGCCAGGAGGCTCATCTTACCTCCCTTGGGAGGGAGTACAAGCAGTCTTGAGTCCCATTCTCCTGAGTTCTCCTGAGCTCTGCTCATTTCCCTCTCAGCCCAGCTCCAACTTCTCCACCTCGGCGGGAAGGGGGGTTAAATCTGTCTAAAGGGAAGAAACATTTGATAGCATGCCGCGTTCCTCCTAACCCTGCTTTTAAAGTATAAATGCTCTAGCATGCTAAGTTAGTTTTCTATTGCTGCATAAAAAAAAATTACCTCACAACTCAGGCCTAAAAAACAAACATTTTCTCACAGTTTCTCTGGGTCAGGAATTTGAGTGCAAGCTTAAATGGGTCCTCTGGCTCAAGTGAAGTCAGGTGTCAGTCACAGACACTGTCAACTCAAGACTTGACTGGGTGGTGGTAGGAGGGTGCTTCCAAGCTGACTTCCTGTCGACAGGACTCACACTCTTACTGGCTGCTGATGAAAGACTGATCCATTGTCTCATGGATCTCCCTATAGGGCAGCTTACACCATGACAGCTGATTTTCCTTAGAGTAAAAGAGAGAGGCGATAAGCAAGACAAGAGTCACAGACTCTTTGAGATCCGATTTTTGGAGATGACATCCCATCACTTTTGCTGTATTCTGTTCATTTAGAACTGAGTTGCTAGGAGCAGCCTGCACTCAAGGGAAAGAGATTGCACATAGTTATGAATTCCAGGAGGCAGGGATCATTGGGAGCCATTTTAGAAACTGTCCACCAGGCTCTTATATCCTTAAGTTTGGACATATAACTGACCTTCTATTTTAACATGGGTCTAATTTATTTGCTGTTTCATTTTCCATAAGATTCAGGTGACTTAAAAGTTCGTTTCTCATACTGTGCATCAAAATTAAAATTTGAACAATTAAAAAAAAAAGAAACTGTCCACCACATAGGTCAAAAATCTTGAAATGATCGTTGTTCTTCTTTTCCCTCATACCTCATATCCAAGTCACACTCTATGTCTTATTATCTCTATGTTCAAAACAACCCCAGAATCTGGTCACTCCCCACCACCTCCAAGGTACCACCTTGGTCCATGTCTGTGTCAGTACTCACCTGGATTATTGCTAATAATCTCCCAACTCTGGTCTCCCTGCTCCCAGCCACGCACATCTCAGCCTCTTCCCCTCAGAGCAGTGAGGGATCCCATGACTCTTCAAACCCACCAGTGCCTGCCAATCTCAAGGAAAGCCAAGAGGAATCCATGATGGCCTACCAGCCCCTGTCTGAGTTGTCCAACCCATCTCCCATCACATTCCCACTTACACACCGGGCTCTGGCTGCACTGGACCCTAGATCTTCACAGTCCTCCTCAGGAACTTTGCCTTTGCTCTCCTCTCTTCATGGAACACTCTACTCCAGGTATCTTCATGGCCACTCCTGCACTTCTTTCAAATCTCTCCCAAACATCATGTTATTTTTTAAAGACTCTGACTGCCCTAGGAGCACTTGGCTGGCTCAGTCGGTGGAGCAAGCAACCCTTGATCTTGTAGTTGTTTGAACCCCACACTGGGTGCAGAAATTACTTAAAAATAAGATCTTTAAAATAATAATAATTTAAAAATAAAAGACTCTAACTGTCGTATATAAACCATCTTCTTGCAAGCCGAGCATCCCCTTCCCCAATACCCAGGCGTATACTTCATGTAGCACTCTTAAAATCAGACATTCTATGTATTCACTTAATGGTTACCATGTGACCCACTTACATGCACAGGAGCTCCTTGGGGGCAAGGGTATTGCCTTTGTTCTTTCTCACTGTTATATCCCCAGTGCCTAGAGCAGCTGCTAGACCCAACAGGATGCTCAAATAAAGATTTGTTGTGAATGACTGGGTGCTTCCTTAAGAGCTTTGGTTACCTTTAGGGGGTGCTTGCCTGGCTGAGTCAGAAAAGGATGTGACTCTTGGTCTCGGAGTCATGAGTTCCAGCCCCATGTTGGGGGTAGAGTTTACATAATTAAAAAAAATTTTTTTCAAGAACTTTGGTGACTTTTTTCAACATAAAATGGTTGGAAATACAAAACTATTCTCCAGAAGTCACTCGTTTCTCACATTCAAAAGCCTTAGCTCTACTCAAGTCTACTGCCTTGGCTTTGAGCTTAAGAGATCCAACCAGGGGATCCCTGGGTGGCGCAGCGGTTTGGCGCCTGCCTTTGGCCCAGGGCGTGATCCTGGAGACCCGGGATCGAATCCCACGTCGGGCTCCCGGTGCATGGAGCCTGCTTCTCCCTCTGCCTGTGTCTCTGCCTCTCTCTCTCTCTCTCTCTCTGTGACTATCATAAATAAATAAAAATTAATAAAAAAAATTTAAAAAAAAAAAGAGATCCAACCAGGAACTCAACCACCTCTTTGTTCTCACCCATGCCACCCTCACCCTAATAATGCCTGAGTTGCAAGGGCTAATCCTAATGGGAGCTTGGGGCAATGGTCTGTGTATATGTTGCATGGAAATGTTTGATGAGGATCTTCGGTGTTAATATCCCCAAACTTATCCCACCCCACAGACATAAGGCTTACCCCCTTTTGTTTCTGTGATACCTACCAGGAGAGCCAGGCACTAAATAGAACCAAGAAGTCTGCCACTTTGTTCCCTGCTAATATCCACTCAGGGGAGCTCCCAATACTAAGAGGAGAGCCCAGCCCTCACCAAGTGGGATCAAGAATGAAGTAGCT